ACACTGGGAACAGCAGCTTAGATCTCACATCTCAGTCCACAAGCAAAAGGCACACACACACACAGAGAGAGAGAGAGAGAGACAGACAGACAGACAGACAGACAGACAACTGGGAATGGCATGAACTTTTGAAACTTCAAAGCCCACCCCCAGTGACACACTTCCTCCAACAAGGCCACCATCAACTAGGGACCAAGAATTCAAGTATATGAGTCTATGAGGGCCATCACAATACCAACTTTAACTCTAAAAGGTCCCCACTCTGTGTGTGTGTGTGTGTGTGTGTGTGTGTGTGTGTGTGTGATTCATATTCCCCCCCACTGCCCTCATTCAAAATTCAAGTACTGTGTTTCTGTCCACAGTGGTCTATTCTTTTTTTTTTTTTTTTTTTTTTTTTTTTTGGTTTTTACGAGACAGGGTTTCTCTGTATTGTTTTGGAGTCTGTCGGTCCAGCCTGGCCTCGAACTCACAGAGATCCGCCTGCCTCTGCCTCCCAAGTGCTGGGATTAAAGGCGTGCACCACCACCGCCCAGCAGTGGTCTATTCTTTATCTTAAAACTTTACATTAATTCTGTTTGACAAACACTTTTTTCCCGAGTTAGGGCACGTTGTTCTAGTTGTGACACACTGACAGAAAAGGACGCCCGCTGGAAGAACAGCAGACTCCAGGGTTGCAGATTCATTACCAGAGAAACAGGAAGCAGCCTGGAGCCTCCACTATGAAGGTCATTGCTCATTGTCACCCGCAGTGGGCTCCTCTTCCTGAGACTCTTGGGGACATTTCCATCGCCTAACTGGGAACTTCTCTACTCCCACCTATGTTTTTCATGGAGCCATGCTCTGAACTCACACTTCCCCAGCTACCCAGTCCACTCCCATGGGGGCTGACCTGCCACTGAGCACCGCCTCCTTGTCTCCAGCTTCTCCAACCCACGTGTGCCCTAAGCTGTTTGTCAGAAGCATCTTTCAGAACCACAGCTCAAAAGAGCCATTTTCCCATACAAACTTCCTAGTGACTTGCTGCAACCTAGGCTGGGGATTCTGAGCTAAATGCCCCAGTGGCCAAGCAGGAGACAGAAGCCAGGAGTGGGGGGAGCTTTGTATAATGCTGCATTTATCATCTTCATTACCAACTCCCAATGAGCTTGGGCTCACTTTTGTTTCGAAACCATAATCCTCTCATCTGGTTCATTTTCCTGGCTTCTATAAGATGCAGAACACAGAGGTCTGAGCACTAAAGCTACATTGTTTAGAGCCTGGGCTGGGAGGCGTGAGAGAGTGGTGAAAACGGCGATGAACTGAAGAAACTACATCCTTCAGTGGTGGGGTTCCAGCCTACGGCTGCTGTGTGGAAAAGCTGGCCTGACAGTGACAGAGCTGATTGTATGATGGGAAATTTCCCATCTGGAACACAGGCAAACCACGGCCTGAGTTAGTCTTCCACACTCATTACCCTGGACAGCTCCTGAGGGTCGGACTCTGGCATTATCTAGGAAAACTGAGATACAGTCCTCGTTCAGCACTGCTGCTTCAGGGCATCTCTCCTGCAGATCTGCGTGTGTGCACAGCAAATCTACTGCAGCACTGCTTGAACAGAAGAACATTCAACCAAAGTTGACCTGTAGGGTCTCAGCTGAACATGCTGAATGTAAGATAAACCCTACACCATCCCCCCCAGAGAATCCATTTGCATCTTCTCCACCTCCTTTCCCATGCCCTGGTAACACTGACCTGAGACTCTGGATTTACCTGCTCTGGACATGCTGTAAAAATGAGTCATGTAGCCAAGCAGTGGTGGCACACACCTTTAATCCTAGCACGCAGGAGGCAGAGGCAGGTGGATCTCTGAGTTTGAGGCCAGCCTGGTCTACAGAGCAAGTTTGGGATAGCAAAGGCTACATAAAGAAAAGCCTTATCTAGGAAAAAAAAAGTCATATAATAAGTAGTCTTTTGTACCTGACCCTGACTTTTTTCACTTAGCAACATGTTTTAAAGATCTGCACACATTGTGTTGTGCATTAATATGCCAATTATTTTATTTAGTTTTGTATTTTTGAGACAGGATCTCTCCTAGCTTAGAACTCACTCTATTTATCAGACTGGCCTCAAATTCCACCTGCTTCTAGTCCTCAAGTTGGAATTAAAGGCATGTGCCACTATGCCCAGCTTTTTAAACATTTTCTAAATAATTTTTCTTTTCTTTTTGGTCCATTCATCAGTAGATTGACATTTGAGCTTCCAGTGTTATGAATGAATATTCATAAGATCTGTGTATTGGTTTTTGCAAGGACACAGGCCTTCAGTTCTAGGTATATACGAAGGGTAGAATTGCTGGGGGTCTGTTCATGGGCACTATCTGACTTGTACTGCACATTCTTCAGAGGCAGGGAAGGTTGTCTGCCTTGTCACCTAGAAAAAGTCCACCAAGGAACTTAGACCTCAGTGGCAGAATGCCCACTTTCCACAAATATGATTTACTAATTAATGATCAATGCAAATCATTTAAAAGTATCTAGTCTGGATTATGCTGTCAAGATTAGAAATAAATTTATAGTAAGCATCTATGATTACATGTCTACACACTCTAAATTTGTATTCGTTCTGGAGCTCACCCAATATACCTGTAAGCGTTTCGGGATGGGTCAGGACAGGATGGAACAGGAGTGGGTCAGGTATTCTGGCACTCAGGAGTCACAGAATACTGAGTGTTACACAGCTCAGGTGGAAAGGTATCCTGGAGCTCGGGAACCAAGGACCACCACAGGTTGCAGTAAGCTTGGCAGCTTACAGCCTTGCCTCAGAGAAAGGCTTCTCCTGTATATCAGCTCCGCTCCAGCAGGACAGGGTCTTCCAGCTGGGGATGTTCACCTAGTGTAGCAGTTTTGCTAGGCAGGAGGTTTCTCAGGTGAAGTTGCTACAGTTCAGCTCTGCTCCTGGAGAGCGGAGAGCTGGGAGCAGAGTGTAACAACTCCGCTCTGCCAAGGAAGGTTTCCTGGGCAAGTGTTACAACCCTGCTCGCTCTGCTCTGCCCAGGGTCGCCTCTGCTCTGTCGCCACCGCAAAAGAAGATCTTCACCCAAAGCTCATCCAAAGGGGTTTATTGGAAGGCAGCTGGACCAGCCAAGCTGAACATACACAGGGTTTATATAGGGATTCTTGGGGTTGGGGAAGTTTTTCCAGAGTAGGGATTGGTCCGATTTCAGTGCTGAGCTCAGATTGGCTAGAGCTCTGCTCCAGGATTGGTTACTTTTTTACACAGGATTAGGGTCAGATTTGGCTCTGGTTTCAGGGCCAGGTTTTGGCTCCAATTTTAGGGCCAGGGTACACTTCTTTCACTGACTCTGATTCCAGGGACAGAGTGTGTTTCTTTGGCACTGGTTTTAGGGTCAGGGTGCATTTCTTTGGTTGAGGTTGCAGGGCCAAAGTGTGTTTCTTTGGCTCTGCTCAGGGTGTATTTCTTTGACTGGTCCCTTTTCCCTACAATACCTAACTATAGTTTTTGCTATCGCTGCTTATTTTCCTCACGTGTGTGTGCATGCCCATGCATGAGCATGCAGAGCCCGGGGTTGACACTGGGTGTGTTCCTCTATCGATCACCACCTAATTTCTGAAATAGGGTCTCTTACTGAGCCTGGAGCTCACTAATTTGGCTCTTCTGTCCAGCCAGAGAGCCTGTGGGATCCTCCTGTTTCCACTTCCCACAAGTGAGTATTATACCAGGGCAGCTCTGCTGGGGATGAGAACACAAGCACGTTACCAGTGGAACTGTCTCCCCAGTTTCCTCCTCAACATGCATGGGAGTTGTCAAACAAAATGCAACGACTACTTTTCTATTTTTATGTACATGTCATAATAAAGCTCCTGAACCCCCGAAGTATGGACAATCAGTAACAACAACCACAGACCCCCAAATCTGCCCTAGGAACCGAAGGGACTTACTGTTTTGGAACAGGGATTCACCGTGTAACCACGGCTGGCCTGGAACTCAGCAGGTAGACCAGACTAGTCTTGAACTCACAGAAATCCGCTAGCCTCTCTGCCTCTCCAGTTCTGGGACTAAGGGTGTGAGCCACCATGCCCAGCTTTCTTAAAACATTTAAACTAAATCTAGCACACGCCTGTATTAAGTTTGTGAAAATGTACTGATGTGTGAAACTTTCTGCGTGTATTTTGGCACAAAGTACAAAGGGGGGGCAACATAAACACCTGTGTATACTTACCAAAATTCATTTCTGGTCGGGACCCCACCTGCAGCTTTTAGTTGAGAACTGCGTAATAAATGCCAAGCGGGTACTCAGACTTTACTTAGTTTCATCCCAGTTTCTCCCTCCACACTTTTCTCGTCTCATTGAGAAACCCAGACCTCTTTGGAGTGGGCACCACCCGAGCTGCCTCTCGGGTTAACAGCGCTCACTTTTGCCTTCTCCGGATGACCGTAGCGGGATGGCGAGGAAATGAACGATAGAGTGTTGGCTCTGTCGCGGTCCAGAGGGCGTGCGCATCCAGGCCAGGGACGCTCTAGAATCCGGAGGACTTGGGTCTCTGTGGCCACTACTCCGGGACCAGGCGTCCAGAACTTCCGGCACCAAAAGAGTGCGACGCAAATCCCTTAGGAGACGAGGGTAACAAGAGGAGCCGAAAGGAAAGGGAGGGGTGCGGAGCCTGTTGTCTAGGTAACAGCCCCTCCCCCCCCCGTAACTCCACCCTTTCGGGCCCTTGGAGCCCGTAGACCGTGATATGCAGGCAAGCGTAGTGGTGCTTTGCCCAATTTCTCCCAGCTCCAGAGGCTGCTAGCACGCATGCGTCAGTGTTGCGGGGCTGCGCGCGCATCCCTGAGGTGCGCGCATCACCCCTTGGGCGGCTCCCGCCGCGAGCTGGACAGCTGGGAACGCGCGCGCGCGTGCGTGAGAGACCAGGGCGCGGCTTTCCCGTCCTGTGGATTTTGATTGGATAGAGTAAAATGAAGGGGTGGGAACGTCCACAGGACCGCTCAATGATTGGCCAGGGACTAGAGGAGCGTGGTCCTGGGGTGGCCGACGGGGTGGTCTGGCCCGGTGCGCACAAGGCAGAGGAGGTAGCTGCGGTCCTTGTTAAGTGACCGAGGCCAGAGGGACGCTCGTCGCTGCGTTGGCAACACCTGGGAACCCCAAGTCCCCGAGGAGGCGTGGCGGCGAGGTGCCGGCGGGTCGGTGAGTGCGGTCCGGGGAGCCCCGGGCCCCGCCCCTCCCTTTCTTCCGGGGCCGCGCCGCGCCCCCTTGAGCCCCTACTCTCGGGACACAGGGTTCGCCGCCTCCTTTCGCCTGCTGCGCAGGGTCTGCCTCCTAGCCCACAGCGGGGAAACTGAGGCCCTCAGGGCGGTCTCCTCACCAGCGTCTCCACACACACCATGGCCGAACCGCTGAAGGAGGAGGACGGCGAAGACGGCTCTGGGGAACCCCCTGGGCGGGTGAAGGCAGAACCTGGCCACACGACGACCTCTGTCGTGGCCAAGAACCTGGCCCTGCTCAAAGCCCGCTCCTTCGACGTGACCTTTGACGTGGGGGACGAGTACGAGATCATCGAGACCATAGGCAATGGGGCCTATGGGGTGGTGTCCTCGGCGCGCCGCCGCCTCACGGGTGAGCTGGCTTCCTGAGACTCAGCATGTGTGGACTGCTTTCCAGAGGCGGTGAGGAACCCGCACGGTCCCAGGAGGATCAGCTGCGCCGGGCATTCTGGTTCCACTCACCACTTACTGACTAGGTGCCAGCTCCCCGTTAGGTACCCTTCTCCGGGGCCCTGTTTCTCCCCGTCAGACTATACTTTCTCCTTAGGAAAATGAGATCCCTGTGAGCCAGAATAGAGAGGTGCTCCTTGAGGTCCAAAAAGATAACTTTCAGAGCCAGAGATTGACACAATGGCTTGGTGATGGAATGGGGACGATCTGGGAGGGAGAGTGAGCTCAGGTAGTACAGTCAAGACCACTGCTAACTATCTGTGTCTCCTCTGTATGTGAGCTGTTAGTACCCCTCATGAGGTAGTTGTGAAATTAAAGTGGAGTGGGTGTTACACACGGGGTCTTGCACATCATAGGAACGTACCTGTTGTTACTTGGGTTCTAGAGCAGTGCTGAAAGGGGCCTGCAGCTGCTTCAAGGTACTCTCTGGTATGTGCCTTTCCCATGCCCTCCAGGCCAGCAGGTGGCCATCAAGAAGATACCCAATGCTTTCGACGTGGTGACCAATGCCAAACGGACCCTCAGGGAACTGAAGATCCTCAAACACTTCAAACACGACAATATCATCGCCATCAAGGACATCCTGAGGCCCACTGTGCCCTATGGAGAGTTCAAATCTGTGTAAGGAGTGGGGAGGAAGGAGACACTGTTGGGGCCAGTGTAGAAGCCCAGGGCCAATAATGCTGAAGTTCTGGAAGGGCATCTGAACCTAATGTGAGACAGGCTGGGAAAAGTCCCATGAGTCCAGGACCAGTGTTCCTGTAGAACATTGGTAGTGACAGTTCTTGTTTTTCAAGAAGAGTACACGGGCTAGGGATGCAGCTCAGCAGTAGAATGATGAGCATCTTTGAGGGATTTTTGTTGTTTGTTTTTCAAGACAGGGTTTCTCTGTGTAACCCTTGTTATCCTGGAACTTACTCAAACTCACCTGCCTCTGTCTCCCGAGTGCTGGGATTAAAGATGTGCACCACTACTGCCTGGGCCACATCTTTGAGGTTTTAGATGGACTCTTCTGTATTGGAACAAGAAAAGGGGGGGGTTATATTTCTTTATTTGGGCATGCTAATTTTGCCTATATAGTAAGTTTAAGGCTAGCTTGGACTACATGAGACCCTATCACAAAAGACCCAGACAACAACAGGAGAGTGAAAGAAACAGAATAGGCCCAAATTTTATAAAATAGCAGACATAGGACTTTGTAGTGTCATGGCACCTTCCTATTCTTATGACAGACATAACTAATTGGTAACAAAATACTTTTTTTTTCTTTTGAGACAGGGTTTCTCTGTGTAACAGCTCTGGCTATCCTGGAACTAGCTCTGTAGACCAGGTTGGCCTTGAACTCACTGAGATCTGCCTGCCTCTGCTTCCCAAGTGCTGGAATTAAAGGTGTGGGCCGCCACCACCTGGCACAAAATACTTTCTTAAAAATAGAAAATTGAGCCGGGCCTTTAATCCCAGCACTCGGGAGGCAGAGGCAGGCGGATCTTTGTGAGTTCGAGGCTGGGCTGGACCGATAGCCTCCGAAACAATACAGAGAAACCCTGTCTCGTAAAAACCAAAAAAAAAAAAAAAAAAAAAAAAAAAAAGAAATAGAAAATTGACATGATCTCACAATTTCATCACAGCTTTTCCATAACTGCTGGCAAACAATAGAGTTTGCTCCAAAATTAACTGTACTGGTCAAGCCTGGTATAATTGAACACCTTTTTTAAAAAAAGAAATCTAACCGGGAAATTAGGCCCATGGAGAAAATGATCTGTCAAAAAGTTGTGGTAAAGTTGTGGCTGAAAAAACGGTTCAGTGGTTAAGAGCACCTGCTGCTCTTGCAGAGGACCTGGGTTCAGTTCCTAATGTCTGCATGGAAATCACAGATATTTGTTACTGTAGTTTCCAGGGATCAGACTCCCTCTTCTGGCCTCTGCGGGCATTGGGCACATTTATGTAGTACATGTGTATACATGCAGAGAAACATACACATAATTTTTAAAAAAACTTTTAAGCTTTTTATGACATAGAAAAATGTAGAACCTGGTGCTATTCTTTTATATCATCTGCTTTGGGGTTTCAGTGTAAGGCCATAATCTCTAGAATTGGGAGGAGGACTAATGAGGATAGGGCTTGTCCCTGTAGTATGAGTAGGCCAGCTGACACCTCTGTCACCATTTCCAGCTATGTGGTACTGGACCTCATGGAGAGCGACCTGCACCAGATCATCCACTCCTCACAGCCGCTAACACTGGAGCATGTTCGATACTTCTTGTACCAGCTGCTTCGGGGCCTCAAGTATATGCACTCTGCTCAGGTCATCCACCGTGACCTTAAACCCTCTAACCTTTTGGTGAACGAGAACTGTGAGCTCAAGATTGGAGACTTTGGAATGGCCCGTGGCCTGTGTACCTCCCCTGCTGAACACCAGTACTTCATGACTGAGTATGTGGCTACTCGCTGGTACCGTGCCCCTGAACTCATGCTTTCCTTGCATGAGTACACACAGGCTATTGACCTCTGGTCTGTGGGCTGCATCTTTGGTGAGATGCTGGCTCGGCGACAACTCTTCCCGGGCAAAAACTATGTGCACCAGTTACAGCTGATCATGATGGTGTTGGGAACCCCATCACCAGCTGTGATTCAGGCTGTGGGGGCTGAAAGGGTGCGGGCCTATATCCAGAGCCTGCCACCACGGCAGCCTGTGCCCTGGGAGACAGTATACCCAGGTGCTGACCGCCAGGCCCTCTCACTGCTGGGCCGCATGTTGCGATTTGAACCCAGTGCCCGGATTTCAGCTGCTGCCGCCCTTCGTCACCCCTTCCTGGCTAAGTACCATGACCCTGATGATGAGCCTGATTGTGCCCCACCTTTTGACTTTGCTTTTGATCGTGAAGCCCTTACCAGGGAGCGCATTAAGGAAGCCATTGTGGCTGAGATCGAGGACTTCCATGCACGACGGGAGGGCATCCGCCAACAAATCCGCTTCCAGCCTTCTCTGCAGCCTGTGGCTAGTGAGCCTGTGTGTCCAGATGTTGAGATGCCCAGTCCCTGGGCTCCAAGTGGAGACTGTGCCATGGAGTCACCTCCTCCAGCACCACCACCATGCTCTGGCCCTGCACCTGACACTGTTGATCTGACTCTGCAGCCTGCGCCCCCAGCCAGTGAGCTTGCCCCACCAAAAAGAGAAGGTGCCATCTCTGACAACACCAAAGCAGCCCTCAAAGCTGCCCTGCTCAAGTCCCTGAGGAGCCGGCTCAGAGGTGCTTTTGTGGGTCTAGCAGCTGGCTGGGTGGTGGAGTGGTAGACAAGGACTCTTGGACAGAGTTGTAAGCCCTTACCTTTCCCTTGTCCAACTGCCTGCAGATGGCCCCAGTGCACCCTTGGAGGCACCTGAACCTCGAAAGCCCGTGACAGCTCAGGAACGCCAGCGAGAGCGAGAAGAGAAGCGGAGGAGGCGACAAGAGAGAGCCAAGGAGCGGGAGAAGCGACGACAAGAGCGGGAACGCAAGGAGAGGGGGGCTGGTGCCTTGGGGGGGCCCTCTACTGACCCCCTGGCTGGACTGGTGCTTAGTGACAATGACCGAAGCCTGCTAGAGCGGTGGACTCGCATGGCTCGGCCTCCTGCCCCAACTCCAACTCCAGCCCCAGCCCCATCACCTGCCCAACCCACCAGTCCTCCCACTGGCCCTGTATCTCAGTCTGCTGGTCCTTCTCTACAGCCTGCAGGCTCTATTCCTGGTCCTGCTTCCCAGCCTGTTTGCCCACCCCCAGGCCCTGCTCCCCAGCCTTCTGGCCCTCCTGGACCTATCCCTGCCCAACTCCAAGCTGCCCCTTCCACTAGCCTTCTGGCCTCTCAGTCACTTGTGCCAACTAGTGGGTTGCCTGGCTCCAGTGCCCCAGAAGTTCTGCCTTACTTCCCATCTGGTCCACCACCTCCAGATCCTGGGGGGCCCCCTCAGCCTTCTACATCAGAGTCGCCTGATGTCAACCTGGTGACCCAGCAACTGTCCAAGTCTCAGGTGAGAAGAGAGACAAAGGCCTAGGTACCTTGATCTGGGTCCTGGAAGGTGGGTTTGGGTTGTCCATGTTGGATGGAATGAAGCAATAAAGGGAGCTTTAACTCTTTGAGCCTGCCCCCTTGCTCACAGTGAAGAGGTTGTTAGGAGGTAGACTCTGGAAAGTGGCATAGAGATAGCCCCACTTGTACTAGTACTTGATGATTTTGAGATAGTGTTCATGTTCTGGGATATTGGTCAGAGTGGTAATAGCACACTGTGTCCTGCTGACCTTAATGTGTCCTTCCTGACACCTATGTTGTAACCTGTTATTGTCCCTGCAGGTGGAGGACCCCCTGCCTCCTGTGTTCTCAGGCACTCCAAAGGGCAGTGGGGCTGGCTACGGTGTTGGCTTTGACCTAGAGGAATTCTTAAACCAATCTTTCGATATGGGTGTGGCTGATGGGCCACAGGATGGGTAAGACAGTTGGACTGAACTCCTGGAATGGGGCTATGGCAGGGTCCTTGGATGGCTGCCCAGCTGCCCAGGCTGACAATACCCATCCCAATTCCTTTTTCTTGCAGCCAGGCAGACTCAGCTTCACTCTCAGCCTCCCTCCTGGCTGACTGGCTTGAGGGCCATGGCATGAACCCCGCTGACATCGAGTCTCTGCAGCGTGAGATCCAGATGGACTCCCCAATGCTGCTGGCTGACCTGCCTGACCTCCAGGAGCCCTGAAACCCACAGCTTGTGCCTTGCTGCCAGGATAGACCCAGATTCAAGGTCCAGGGATGCAATCCAGAGGCCTGTAGCCTTGGCACTGGCAGGTGAGGCTCAGCTTGAGTTACTCTGCAGGTTCATCTCAGACCCACCTTTCAGCCTTAAGCAGCCACCTGAGCCACCACCGAGCCATAGCAGGATTGGGAGACTCTACTCCCCCTGAGAAGTCTTCTCCAGTATTGTATTTTTATTGTTGTAATATGCATTTGTTTTGCCATCAAAATGAAGTCTGTGAAATATAAGGTTTCCTTTAAGCTGATTGTGTGTCATTTCTGGAGTTGGTAAGACCACCAGCAGTAGGCGTATAAGGAAGAGCCAGGTGCCCATATTATTTGGGGCCAAGTAAAGGTTTGTCCACAAAGCCATTCCATCAAATCCTAAAGGTTTATTGAGATCTCCACTTCCCACCCTCTTCCCTCCCCACAGATTGTTCCCTGCTGCCTTTCATGACAATCCCTGGGGGAGGTAAGGAACCTCGTTAACATGCCTATCTCGCTGGTGGCTACTTCAGGGCTGATGAGTAGTAGCCGTGGTGAATATTGTTTTGGCATTGAACTTTGAATAACTAGTGAAGGCAGGTGGAGTTGGGCTCCATGGTGCTCACTATAAGGGAATGAGTAGGTGAGGGGGAGATCAAGGGTGGGGAGTATTCTGGGTGGGAGTGCTGGGGTGTGACAGTGGCTATGCATGAGGTGGCTGGCAAATTCCATAGTTGTTGCACTACTCTGTCTAGGGTAGCCCCAAACAGATGAGTCTGCAATAAGGGAATTGGCTAATGTGGAATGCAAAAGCTGGCAGCTAGAAGGTAGCTTCTGGCTTTCAGCTGTCGGGAAGGAGTAGAAGCAACTTGGGTTTTTACAGGGTGCAGGGAGATCCAGGCTGGGATGGCTGGGCCACAGAAAGGCCTATTGGTCTGCTGACAGCCTGACCTTAGGAAAGCAATAGGGCCTGGACATGGGACAGGGATTTTCCAGGGTATTGCTGGTGCTCAGAAAGCAGCAGAAGCAGTGTCTTGTGGGTATATCATGGAAACTTAGGGGCTCTAGGGGAGAGATGGGGCCTGCCTGAGCCAGCTCCTCAGGCCCGACGAATTTTCATCTCAGTGCGCTTGAGGGAGTAGTAGAAGCCTTTCCACTGGGCCCAGTTGATGCCGTTGGCATAGGAGAGGTGGGAACCACCCAGGTAGAAGCCGTTGAGATTGGCAAAATGGCAGCTTCTGAACCAGAAGGCCCCTGAGGAGAGGGCTGCACAGTTCTGCACGAAGAGGTCCTGATCTCTGTCGAAGGTAGAGAACTTCTGGCCGCTGTGGTAGGACAGTGAGTCACCTGGCAGGAGGGAGAAGGGATAGAATTACTGAGGCCAGGAGCAGAGCCTTGGGCTGTCTGTCTAAGTGACAGCAGTTGATGAGTGACACTGGGGGACAGGACAGCACCGTGTGGCATCCTATGGGGATGGAGGCACTCTCCCTGAGCCACAAAGAGAAACAGCTGTTCTGGAGCAGGGCCAGTGTGGCTCTTCCCTAGGGCCAGGGTTCAGGTGGCTGGAGTTAGTCTGGAGAGAGCTGTGGCTCTTCCAAGTCCAAAAGGGTTGAAGGAGGAGCCTTAAGGAGCCAGTGGGGCAGGGCCAGTCCTATGTTATTGCTCCCCCACTCCCCTGCTGCCACTGCCTCTGAAGAAGCTGATAGAGGTACCTGCCCCACCATCCTCGAAGCCAGCCACGTAGAGAGTATAGCCATCCTCCTCAGCACTGACGGCGTTGGGGGAGATGGAGAAGTCAACATACTTGGCATAGGCTGTGTTGTTCTCAAAGTCTTCCAAGTCCACTCGCAACTCATACTTCTGCTTCAGTGTCAGAAGGTGCAGGTTCTGCAGCCCTAGGGATGGGTAGCGGCTGGTTAGCAAAAACTTAACTGAGGGGCAGCCCCTACCCTGTGGCCCCACCTTACCCAGCCAGTACTCCCCGTCAGCACGGCCAAAGCCCAGCTTGTAGTCGTTCCAGCCCCGGAAGAAACTCACTGAGCCGTTAAATCTTTTCTGGAAAACCTAGAAGCAAGAGGATGAAAGACTAGATGATGGAGGTTCAGTACCCTCAGGGACCCTGCCCTGCCCCCCCCCCAGGCCTGACTCTGCTGAGCCAGCTTGTTAAGGATTAGAGTGAGTATTGGAGAGTTGCTAAACAAAACACACACTGGCTCCAGGCATCTTATTGAACATCTGCTGCTGAAAAGGGGGTACCTACCTGACTTCTTGTCCACTGAGAGACAGGGAGGGGAAAAGATTAAGGGGGATTGGGAGCTGGGGACATAGCTTAGTGGCAAAGCACCAACCTAGCGTAGAGGCTCTGGATTCCATCCCAGCACTGTGTGATGAAAGGGAGCCAGGTGTGGGGGGGTCTAGAATACCTGGCTGTGAGCTCTGGTACTGTGTGACCCAAGACAAACAACGCTACTTCTCTGGGCCTGCAGTTGCGCATTTAGAAAAGGCACCTAATTAATAGGACCACTGTGAGGACAGCATGCACTAGCCCTCAAGTGTGTGTAAGTGTTAGCAGCCCTGGGTCCAGTCCCTATAAAGATGAGCTCAGTTTGCAGAAGTGACACTCAAAGAGTCATGCAGCTGCCTGGACCACATCTGGCCTGAGGCCCTTTTGCCTACTCACCGTCCATTTGCCACCCTCAGTTGTCATGTCACAAAAGACAGGCACTGGTACACTGGGACCAGAGGGGTAGATGAGGTACACACCATCTGCCTGATAGCCCTGAGCGTAGATATCATCACAGTCTAGGGGTTGCTGAAGGCAGGACTTCTCCAGAGCTGAGACGGACAATGTGGGAACAGAAGGAGAAAGACTAAGGTATAAAGGACACCTCAGTACCCCAGTTTTTCCCCAGGACTAAGGGACCCTGTCATGCGAGATCTGGAGATTTCTCTAGGGGCCACCTGCCAATTTGTGGAGAAGGAAACAGTCCTGCAGAGCCTGGCTTACAATGACCTCATGTGAATGGGGGCTACTTACCATCTCCCCGGATCGCGGAGACCTGTGGGGAGCAGGGAGGTATAGAGAGCAGGAGCAGCAGCAGCGGCAGAGCTGGGAGAGCCTGGTGGTGGGAAACAGGCTGAGTGTAGCCCCCAGCATGGGTCAGACTCCTCCCAGGGCTCCCACTGCCTGAACCCCTGCCATCTGTCTTCCTTTCCCTTACCCACTATCTGGGAGAGGCTCAGTATCCCCAGAGCTTAGGTTTCAAGAGATTCCCCCCTATGCTTCTCTATCCCCTCTCTGGCAAGTGGCTTGTCTCCACAGAAGGTCTTGATCTCCCAGGCCAGTACCTTCATGCTGTCAGCTCAGTTCAGAGAGGCAGGCTGTCTGGGGCCCCAGACTGCAACCGCCCACAGTTATGTGTTGGGTCTGAGCCCACAGACCCAGCCCCGCCCCTGGAACTGCAGAATGCCCCCCCCAGCCCCAATAACCAACCCCCAGCATCAGCTTACACTGTCAGGGGCCAGGCGACCACCTGGGTCTCATTAGGCCTGTCAGAGAAGCAGTGTGGACCAGACGTTAACTCCTTACCAGCTGCAACTGCTCCCTGGACCCCATTCGGCCTCCCTCCCTCTTGGACTGTGGGCCCCTTGGCAATCCCAGCTGGCCTCTGCCCACCCCCTGCTTTCTGACAGGCCCTCTGCAGATGTCTGCTTCTTGCCCATTCCTGTCTAGTGTTTTATCAGCCATTTGGGGGAGGGTAGGGGGTGGAGGTGTCCATGGGCTCGAGAGAGGGGTCCTTACTTGGGAAGGCTAGGTAGGGTAGGCAGACCCAAAGCTCCTGATGTGGGAGCCGCCTGGCCTGGTAGGAGACAGGGCCAGCAGGGGCCAGCAGGGGCCAGCAGGGGCCAGGCAGTCTTTTGGCAAGCCTGGGACATTTCTGAGTCATGAGCACAAAACTACAGGCGGCCAACAGTTCTGTCTGCCTCGACTGGAGCCAGGGCTCTCTCCAACTCCTTCCTGGCCCCCTCCCCTGCTGGGTGTCTATACCTCCACCCTTCTTTCTCCCACAGTTCCCTGACCCATCTGGATTGCTTTTGTTTCTTTGTCCCGCCCCTCCTCCCTTCCAACCCCATCTGCTCTCACAACTCCTTTTCTGTCCTGACTGAACGCTGCTTCCCTTGTCCCAGCATGCCTGGTTTCTGTGTCCCTCCTGCCATCCTTACCACCCAGCCTCTCCTGCTTCTGTTTTTCTCTCCTTCCGTCCTCTGCAAGAGTTGTCCCAGGTCTGTGTTCTCTCGGTTAAGCTTCCTGTAGCTCTCCATGGCCTCCGAGCTGAGGCCAACATTTCCCCCTGAGACTTGAAAGGAATTATCAGTGTGTCTCAGCCTCCCTTCAAGACCATGTTCCTTGCTGCTTGAGACTCTTAAACTATGTCTAGCTACCCAGACTTCTGGCTAGCCGGTTCCAGGGCCTTTGCCTGGATTGTTCCCTGTGCCCACCAGTCTTTTTTCTTCCCATGAGTGCTGGTGGGCAAAGCCCCTATCTCCCATTTCTGCACACTCAGCTCCCATCACAAAGCCCATACATATACTCACAAAGCACCTACTATGTGTTATACAATATGTTGGCTGCCAGGGATACAAAGTCAGCCCCTGGAATGGCCAACGTGTTTTGGCCAATGAACCACAAATGTCACTTATGCCTAGAAAGACACAAACAGGTAAGCATGTGAGATGTCCAGAGCAAAGAGATATCTCTGGCATAGATCCTCTCTTGACCCAGGACAGACCCCACTGGGCCTCCTTGACATGGTGTGTGGCTGCTGGTTAGAAACCTATGTCTAGTTGTGTTGAGCCGTGGGGGTTCCAGAGCTAGCTGCCAGAGTTGAAACCCACATGCCACCATCTGTGAAGTTGGCCTAACTTAGGCAGATTCCTCTGTGCCCCAGTTTCTTCCTCTGTGGAATGAAGATGATCCTATCTCCTTGGAGGTGTAAGGGTTCAAGTACCACACAACAAGTACCAGGAACAGTGCTCATACCTACTTGTCAAAAGAGAGAAATCTTAACCTAATTAAACTCACGTTTATTCGAGCGATTATAAACAAAATAGAACAAAGCAACATAAAACAAAAGTGATTTGTGAACTGGGCAGTCCAAGGCAGTGTCAGACAACTCCCAGGAATAATAGGATCTGACATCGCTTATAGGAAACAAGTGTGTGCAGAGACCGCTTAATTGGTTACAGCTTAGTTGAGTGATTGGTTTCAGAGCCGC